TTGCAATGATTTGATATTTTCAACAGAAATTGTCAAAGTTACCTTTCTGTGTGACGCCATGACTGACGCAAAATCATGCACAACGACAACAGTATTTATCAGAATTTCTGACTATTTCTGTTTGTTTCAATGAAAATTATAACAGCAAATAACAGTACACAGATTGTCAGAATGGGTCTGATTACTTACATGTCACATTTATGTATATACGACCCCAGAATCAAGGAAAGTCCCCTCGTAAAATCCCGCGTACTGTTGACAGTGAACACGCCATTTTGTCACCAGTAGTGATGTCATACGTCAACATTTTTGTACATATTTGGTGATTTCTTTGAGGTGAAGATCCTTGAATGAGAGTGCACACGATCATTGTACCATGCTGTTTACAGTTTCAGTTATGATGTAGATTTTGCATATCTTTTATACATTTTTTCACACAATTATAGGCCACAACGTGTATGAACGAACCTTTGATAATCTCCTGTTTGATAGGTTTTTGGTGTCGAATATGATATTTCTTTCCTTTGGACAAGTGTTACAAGATGAAGTGTAAATGTAATATCAGCATATGTACGTATTTCTTGGGATGTGTAATAGTCATTATTATAAGTTCATATAACCAATGTCCATGAATTGCCGTTTCATTTTAGTTTATAACTAAAACTGAATATATTACTTTTACTAAATGGATAATATTTTTCGGTAAAATATATGCACACATTTCTGAAAGAATTGTCTTGGTCTTGGAATTGTTTTTTTTTTATGTCGTTTGATACACAGAACAGTGATATCTAACGATTCGCCAAGTGCGTGTTAGTCACAAACAATTTACGAATTATTCCTCTCGTTTTGCATTATATAATCAACGGGTTCATTCTTTTTTCAATATTGTGATCACAGGATATTAAACTGTTTACTTTATTTCTCCAGGGAATTGTAAAAAGGATAAAAATAAAATCCATGCCAGGTACCCTGTTGGTTCAACCTTAAACGATTATCCTGATAATTCTATACCAATAGAGCTTTTATTGTGTAATTCTAAGACGAGATGAAGAGAAATAAAAACATAATAATGAACAAATATATGTCCAATATTGAATATAATTTTGGTTGTTTTGAAATATTCTTTGACATATTTCATTACGTAAATTGATGCCAAACTGGTGTGTGTCTTGTCCAATTAAGATACACGATAAACTATCTAATTGATTATATATTCAAGACATTATTAATTTGGTGAAAGCAGTCATTTAATGTTGTGTCGAAAAAGCGTCAAATTCTGTTTTACACATCAAGATTTTCCATACCATGAACGAAAATTAGGGAAGATATATATTAATCAAAATACCAGTGTCGTCTTTCTCCAACGTTATCAAAGTCATAAAACCAGCCATGACGTCAATAAGAATGGTGTTATATTTTTGGTATTTCATTACATTTGATGATAAGGCTAGTGCTCCATTAATAATGATGCAACATTAGTCAAATTACACTTACACATTCAGGAGAATGTTGGAATCTAAGGACTAAGTTATATGTTAGATAGGGCCATCCATTTCTCTATTACCTCTTTTTTTATGAAGTGTGATTTCATCATTTCTTATGGTTTTTTTGTATAACTAAACATATACAGTTTCAATATCGATATTTGTGTTGGAATAGTTTGGTTCCTCATGAACAAAACACCATGAAAATGTCCTTATCCACAGCTAATTCTCACCAAGTGACCTGAGTTACAATAAACTTGTGCTAAGCAAAGCAGAGTTAGCCCCCTTTTCTTTGTACGTGTGTAACCTCTCTGTCGCCTTTTGACGTCATAGAGAAAAATCAGTTTTCGTCATTTATGGCTTGATATTTTTGGCATTGAATGTATGTCGTTATACATACGCATATAGCTCCTTTTTATATATAGTTATGTCGTTCAGATATTAGGCAGTATTTTGTTCGCTCATAGTTTCCGTAAAGCTAAATATAAAAAAATAGTCGCACAGTACTTTTATCGGTGTACAATAAAAAGCGGAGAAATCTACTGCTTTTCAACGCAGAATAAATTCTCAGACAACACTTAGAAGTGTCTTTTTTTTAAACCAGTTTAATATTTGCAGTTAAATTTACAGCATCAAATAGGAAATTTAATATTCTCCACCTCTGCATGATTTAAATGCCAGAGGTAGATCCAGTGCCCCGTGAGCGCAATTCTCACATAACCTTCACTTTTCCTATCTTAGGAAAATGTGCGTCAGAAAAAAACCTCGGCATCCAGCGGGTTAAAGATGGTACTTGTTGTTACCCTGCCTGACACTTGGCTTTAAGGGGACAACACAAGGACTCGGAGTCAGTTAACTGTGTCATGGTATCTCAATGGGCTAGAACTATAAAACAAGCATTACTCTGGATCTCTGCATGCAGACACACACACACGCACGTTGCTGTACAAGTGCAATCATCTTGATTGCAACGTTAAACCCTGTTTCACCTCATCTCGTCCCACCTTACCAAGAATGTCAGACCCCCGCCCCCCTGGAATATTTAGTGGCTAGTTCTATACAAATCTCGGTTATGATAGGCAATCCTAAGAAGACCCGTGAAAATCCAGGTTTGAATAGGTCTTCAGCAACCCATGCTTGCCATAAAAGGCGACTATGCTTGTCGTTAGAGACAGCTAATAAGATCGGGTGGTCAGGCTCGCTGACTTGATTGATGCATGTCATCGTATCCTAATTGCATGTATCGATGCTCATGATGTCAATCACTTGATTGTCTGGTCGCCTGATGGAACTATTAAGTTTTGACATCAGAGGCGTAATGTTTAGAACGAGTGAGTGTCAGGATTGCATTGCAATGTTCCAGGAATATCTTGACCTTCACACTTTGTGCCTATGTGGGAATCAAACCTAGACCTTTAGCATAGGAAGCCTGATCCTTTAGGCCACCCCAGGTGAATATCTCTATCTACATATATCAAATCTCTACTTGTGTTGTCTCTTGATAACATGACCTGTATTACCAGTAAGTCACTTACCGTATTCGACATAATGAGCGCCCAGGGCACTATCAAAATTAGAAATAGCGGGTTTTTATAAGAATATAATTTTGGTAAGAAAAAAAAACAGAATTGGTATATGTAATTGGTTATGCTGTTGATGAATAATAATTAACTTAAGTTTAATTTTTCATGTGATCATTATGAGATGTTGGAAAATTTAAAAAAACAAAAAACTTTTAAATATATCATGAGCACACTCTCATTACAAGTTTACTCATCCCCCTGGGTATCTGGACGGACACTACACGGCTACGTCTTGACCCAGTTATATCAGAGTTTAATGATAGATTAATGTGTTGACCGCCTCCATGGTCTTGTGGTAGAGCGCCCGCTCGGAGAGCGGAAGGTCCAGGGGTCGATCCCCGGCCACGTCATACCAAAGAGGTCAAAAGATGGTAGTTCAGCTTTAAGATGCTACGTTAAGTCGCGACCGTCTCCGTGGTCTAGTGGTAGAGCGTCCGCCCAGGGTTTGATCCCCGGCCACGTCATACCAAAAGAGGTCAAAAGATGGTAGTTCAGCTTTAAGATGCTACGTTTGGATGTGTCCTAACTCGCAACCGTCTCCGTAGTCTAGTGGTAGTGCGTCCACCCGGAGAGCAAAAGGTCCAGGGTTCATTCCCCGACTGCGTTATACCAAAAGACGTTAAAAGATGGTACTTGTTGTTACCCTGTCTGGCACTCGGCATTAAGGGGCTAAAACAAGGACTGGTCGGCTCGGAGTCAGTATACTGTGCCTGAGTGGGGTATTCATATTAAACTGCGGCATGGTATCTCAGTGGGCTTGCACTTTAAATCGGCATCAGTCCGGACCAGTACAAGCAGCCACACACACACACATGTACATGCACGTCGCTATATAAGTACAATAATCTTGGACGCGAAGTTAAACCCCATTTCACATCACCTCACCATTAATGTGTCACCCATGTAATTAATGTGCCATTAAATGTGGTTGTATCAAACTTTTATTGACACCATCTGTACATGAACGGACCATTAACTTAATGGAGGTTTGGGGTAGCATTAGCCTGTCATTACACCAAACATGCCTAATAATTTGCGCTAAATGGTTGATAAACTGCAGTACATCACAAAATAAACGTCGGAAGTGATGCACTTTGGGTATTATGACTTCCCAAACCTTCGAGTGGAGAGAGCTGCTGAAGCTCATTGTACCACTTAGCCGATGACAGGAAGAAGAAAGTATTTGTTTGCTCAAACGGGATTGTGGGAAGATAATCTATTTTCCACAAATGAAACATTAAGGATGAAGTTTTGATGCAAGGGATTCCTCTATCTTATACTGAATACATAACTTGAAAGAACTGGTTCAGTAACAGTTCACAACATATGAACATTTGTCCCGGACCAATTTCATATTTTTTGGTCCGTATACTAACAGACAGGAGACAAAAAAATATATTAGCAAAAAAGAACCTCTTTAAATGTGATCATGCATATAAACCAAGTGATGCTTATGAGATACATCTTTACAATTGAACGCCATTTTGAAAGGTTCTTTTTTTTAGGGGGGGCTTAACTTGCCTTAAGATATCAGCACTTCACAATACAAACAATTATGTTGTTGAACATTATTTGCTCGTTAGTTACCTTATCACAACAGAGCATGTTGATCTTGGTGAGGGTATTTAAGTTGCCAAACTCATTATCCTACACAACTAACAACACATGATAAATACCCCTACATTTTAACCTCTAGGACCCTGTGGGGAGTATCAGTATTAATACATTGTCATAATCATAGCCCAGCAGGCCAAACTCCCGCCAAAGCCCCATCCAAATCCCGAGATGGGACATGGTGATAGAAGGCTATAGACATAATTAGCCTTAACGGAACAGCTCAAAACACGTTTGTTCACGCATATATTTGTCAGGAAGCTTGCACTCTGCCTGCATGTACCTTGATAATCAGCTCATGTGGGTACTTCCTGCTGGGAGGGGGATCTGCCTCCCCATGATGGTGGTGGTACAAGTCACGCAGTTAACTGTCGACAGGCACACCACATACTCAGCAGGGAGACAATGTAAACCCTATAGTTTATGGCCGTACTGGCATAGGTTCTCAAGCTTGCCAGACTCAGGCAATAGCATTTTCCGTGCAGCATGGACCTAGCATGTGTGTTTGCGATGTGTACAGTGTATAGAAAACTTAAAGAACAGTTTTTCAAGGATGCTGATTTCATATTGTGTTCCATTGTACAAGAAATCCTTTAAAAGTCTTAATTGACAATTAATTGTGACAGGTGAAGGTTTACCTGGAGTTGAAACTATCAAAAAGCAGAATAAATTACAGAAGGCGGGTTTAATGGCTGAAGTAATTCCAGAGGTGTAGGGTCCGTGAATTCGACATTTATAGAGACTACGGATGACCGTGTGATTCACTGAACATTCATTGGACAGACAGCTATATTGCTTCTGTCATGACAACAGCCAAGGAGAAGCTTCTTTCCTTTCAAGATCTACCTTGTGTTGTTATTCCTGTGTTCGTGTCAAGTATTTACCCATATCACGCTTGTTAACCTCTACGGTGTCAGGGAAGAGATTCTATTGGTGTCAACTTCTTTATTATGCGGAACACGTTCCAGAGTATATGCTTACTCTTTCATCCGATGTTCTTTCTAACAGTGGTGTTATCAAACTTATGTCTCATTTATCTATTGAATTTACTCATGAAGTGGTAGGGAATATTTTTTCGTCAAAACGCAACCTGTTGTATTTTAAGTCTGATGATGTTCATATTTGAAGTATCAGCTTTGACGTGTCTGAAATTAAGTATGTACAAAATTATTACATGAGGTGTGAGTTTTGTGTTATGAAAAGGAATAGTTTTAAACTGTTACATACGGCCCATGGGTTGTATGGGGCTTATCACATAGGTCATAACAGCCTGTCTATATAATGTATCTTGTAACAATGACAGTATATTACCTGAGATTAAGTCGTGCATGAATTTGGATCATAATGTGAATATCATGTATGAGTATCAAGGCAATGACAGTTCACAGTCACTGAGGATTAAAGTTGCTTATGGCTATTTATAGACGTTTCATGACAGATCACACATGCAGCTGAAATTGTAAGAGAGCTTGTTTACTTTGATTGAAGTCAAATTGGTTGTTTGTCATGAGTCAGAGTGGTGATATGTATTCGAAGCCCTTGATGTTATAGGCTGCTTTAGACGTGTTTTGAAGACACGATACACTTTCAAGACACATTTACAGATATTTCTGTGTTTTGACAGTTTGATCTATTTGTTTCCATTGCGGATGGTGACAGCTGGTTTTGTGTTGAAATATTTGATAGTGTCAGTTTCATGGTGTGTGGGTTTCTGTAGTCATGATTTTCTGGTGATAATTTTAGATTTCTTACCCAGCAAGATCTTTGAAGGACTTCATGTGGAATTGATTTGAAATGTGTGTTTGTGATTGAAACAACCGGCACTGTTGGATCAGACACAAAGTAGAAGTTTCACATTGAGATCGATATCATTTGAGCTTATATTAAATGCTGAAATGTTTTATCGATAAAACATTTACATTGATTTATGCGAAATTCTTCATCTTGTCCGGGAACGCCTCAAATACGACACATGTGGTTCTCATTATGCACAGCTGTCTACAAAAAGGATCATGAAAGTGACATTTTTGAAATAATTATGGAAGTGTGAAATGATATGTTTCCATTCTCTATTGTGTGATATCATGCCTGCAGCGCCCACCCTGAAATGTCGATCCACGGGCAGGACTCGGAATCGGGATGACGGCATCCGTGTTGCATCTCGGGACAGACGGGGGTCGCTGAAGGTGGCGGGAGCGAGGTTTGCTGGTCATGTGACTGATGAGACCGGGGACCAGGCAGCTGTTCGAAGAGGAAGCATCATTGATACACTATACAGGTAGGTGGACAGGTGTGACGTGTGTTGTCGGGTGTTACTTTTACACAGGTAATGGACAGGTGGGAAGTTAGTTGTCAGGTATAACTTTGACACAGGTACATGGACAGGTGTGAAGTTAGTTGTCAGGTATTACTTTTACACAGGTAATGGACAATTGTGACGTGTGTTGTCGGGTGTTAACTTTGACACAGGTAGATGGACAGGTGGGAAGTTAGTTGTCAGGTATTACTTTTACACAGGTAATGGACAATTGTGACGTGTGTTGTCGGGCATAACTTTGACACAGGTACATGGACAGGTGTGAAGTTAGTTGTCGGGTATTACTTTTACACAGGTAATGGACAATTGTGACGTGTGTTGTCGGGTGTTAACTTTGACACAGGTAGATGGACAGGTGGGAAGTTAGTTGTCAGGTATTACTTTTACACAGGTAATGGACAATTGTGACGTGTGTTGTCGGGTATTACTTTTACACAGGTAATGGACAGGTGTGAAGTTAGTTGTCAGGTATTACTTTTACACAGGTAATGGACAATTGTGACGTGTGTTGTCAGGTATTACTTTTACACAGGTAATGGACAATTGTGACGTGTGTTGTCAGGTATTACTTTTACACAGGTAATGGACAATTGTGACGTGTGTTGTCGGGCATAACTTTGACACAGGTACATGGACAGGTGTGAAGTTAGTTGTCGGGTATTACTTTTACACAGGTAATGGACAATTGTGACGTGTGTTGTCGGGTGTTAACTTTGACACAGGTAGATGGACAGGTGGGAAGTTAGTTGTCAGGTATTACTTTTACACAGGTAATGGACAATTGTGACGTGTGTTGTCGGGTATTACTTTTACACAGGTAATGGACAGGTGTGAAGTTAGTTGTCAGGTATTACTTTTACACAGGTAATGGACAATTGTGACGTGTGTTGTCGGGTATTACTTTTACACAGGTAATGGTCAGGTGTGAAGTTAGTTGTCAGGTATTACTTTTACACAGGTAATGGACAGGTGTGAAGTTTGTTGTCAGGTATTACTTTTACACAGGTAATGGACAGGTGTGAAGTTTGTTGTAAAGGTATTACTTTTACACAGGTAAAGGTATACACACACGCTGTAGGATTAACCATGTTTACATCTTACAAACATGCATGCACGCACGAACGAACGCGCAAATATACATAAAGAAGAGTGTGAACAGTGGTAAGGGCTACCTGCCTGTTACAGACTTTATAGAGCATGTTTTGCCATATTGATTCATTTCCACGAGCGATACTGACTATTTTGATTTATTTCAGATCTAAGAAAATGACAAAAAGCAGCATGGAGGATAAAAATGGTGAAGTGAAGTCGGAACACAATGTTGCCTTGCCGGAGTCAACCCTAAAACCTTACAAGACAGGTATATTGGCTTTTCTAGCAGTTGTAGGAACGGCCATTATACTGAAAGACTTTGGGATGGTTTCTCTAAATCTCTTTAATACAAGATCTACATCACACAAATCTGAAAGTTTGGTCAAATCTGTTGAAAAATGGCGCGAAGCTGATCCTGCAATACTTCAGAAATACGGGCTCAAGGTATGCGATATTGACAGAGTATACGCTGATGAAATTACCGAACAACGGTTTGAAAAGGAATATCGGTTCAAAAAGCCTTTACTAGTAAAGTTCCGGAACGGTGCTAAGGACTGGACAGATCCTGAGAAATGGACTTTGAAGAGTTTGATATCCCAATATGGACAATGGAGGTTGTATTCCGGTAGCTCTCTGGAACTGGTGAGACGAGGCGGCAACGGGTACATGGGATCTTCGTTCGAAGATTATGTAAACGCAATGATGTCCGAAGGCAGTGATGTTGAAAAGGAGCCTCCGTAAGCTTGACATATGTTTTGTGTTTGTTTTATCACTTAAAAAAGTGAGGGTTCCAGAATGATATAGTTCAGAGCCATTGTGGTTTGGTTGTTCAAAATGTCTTCCTGTCTGACGGTGATTTTCAGTGCCCATGCTGTCAACCACGTTTTCCAGGACCCCCTTGCACAAAGCGATCTTAGCGCTACAACTATTGTAAGCCTATGTTAAAGCATGGGGGTTACGGTCATCTTAGCGCTATAACTATTGTAAGCCTATGTTAAAGCATGGGGGTTACGGTCATCTTAGCGCTACAACTATTGTAAGCCTATGTTAAAGCATGGGGGTTACGGTCATCTTAGCGCTTCAACTATTGTAAGCCTATGTTAAAGCATTGGGGTTACGGTCATCTTAGCGCTACAACTATTGTAAGCCTATGTTAAAGTATGGGGGTTACGGTCATCTTAGCGCTAAGATCGCTTTGTGCAAGTGGGCCCTGATCCCATAGGTTTTGTCCCATTTTACCCATTTTTTATGTGAAATTGTTCAATTTATTTAAATTGTGGCGAGCAATCTCAACCACTTGTACTTAGCCTGTGGGTTCTGTTTTCTTGCAGTGGTGCTTATATTCTCTGCCTCCCAGACCCCAGAGAATAATTTACAAAAGGAGCCCATCTCAAGACTAGAATGATTGTGAAAGTCTAGATTGGTTCATCCCTAAAATTGGGCTCCATTTGGATTATATTTTTTATATTTGTAGATTTATATCTTTAAATAAGTAATAACTATATTTCTTGGACTAAATCTTAGTCTACACAAGTATCTCTAATGGTTGTTACCAAATGTAGTACCAAATATTTTAAACACTATTGCACTTATTTCATGCAATTATCAACAAGAACGAATGTATGTCTTTACAATACTCATTTTACTATGCGATCTCTGAAGATCCAGGGTAGAATAGGTCTTCAGTAACCCGTGATTGCCATAAGAAATGACTATGCTTGTCTTAAGAGGCGACTAATGTTATCCGTTGGTCAGGCTCGCTGACTTGGTTGACGCATGTCATCGTGTCCCAATTGCATGGATTGAAGCTCATGATGTCAATCACTGGATTGTCTGGTGCAGACTCTATTATTTAAAGACCACCGTCATATAGCTGGAATATTGCTGAGTGCGGCGTTCACAAAACAAAACAAAACATAAAAAATGGTCAGTGCATAAAACAAACCATTCCAAAAGAATCATAACCACATGTAAAGACGAGTTTGTGATTTTTCGCAATTGTAACAGATTGATACTTCATAGTGTCAACCTATTTTAATTTTGGCCTTTGTTGCTTGTTTGAACTACCGATTGTTTGAACTACCGATTGTTTGAACAACCGATTGTTTGAACTACCGATTGTTTGAACAACCGATTGTTTTAACTACCGATTGTTTTAACTACCGATTGTTTGAACAACCGATTGGGACAATCCTGAACAACACCCAACACTCAGTTTTACGATTTTTTTGTCCAAAGCAGCTTGCTATACCATGAAAGCATATGTTTCTTAACGTATATTATGTGTTCATAAACTGAGTTCTGAAACTGTTTGCAAAATACAGTCTCAATTATTTTCAAACCGCTGTCATATGACACTATTACAGAACAATACAGATAAAAAACAGCTCTAGTCATGACAGATCACCAGCAACTAAACTGAGGCACCTTTACCTTGGCTACATACATGACACCCAAGCAGGGACCCATAAAGATGCGGGGTAGAATAGGTCTTCAGCAACCCATGCTTGTCGTAAAAGGCGACTAACGGGATCGGGTGGTCAGACTCGCTGACTTGGTTGATTCATGTCATCGATTCCAATTGCCCCAAAATTGTACCCAAAGTACTTGGTGATTTTGTACCCAAGAAAACTAAACTAAATATGTTTGATCATGATTATTCTTTCATGTTTATTGCAAACAATGAGCTAAATATTATGTTAAAACATTTCATCAAGTTCATAATATGACTTACCTAAATTTACCTGGTCCTTCAGTGAAGTCAGTCCACGTTAGCACAACTCAGGTTGATTGATTGTGATAGGAAAGTAATAAATTCTTGGCACTGGAGAGGAGGCTAGTAAATTGATAAACCGTAAGTTAATTGTAGATCTAGTGTTTTGACAGAAAAGTGATAATAAATTAACTTTTTCATACAGAAAGCAATGTGTAAGTTTGAAACTACAAAACTGCAATACAAAATTATTGTGGGCACGAAAGATCATACCTGTTTGGCTACAAATTCTCAAGACATTTTACGTACAAAAAGCACATTTCAAATGGATTTCGTAGAACAAAGGGATAAAAAAAGATTTTTAATCAGTGAAATTCCATTTCACATTTTAAACAAGTATTTGTTTACGAAACCAAGCTCAGGTAGACGGCTCATGTTTTGTCCTAGAAGTAGAAAAAAAACCTGAAAAAAATGGACTCCTCAGAAATGAGGGCTTTTAAAGTTATAATTCTATCTAACTTCTCAAATGGTTTGACGTTGGTCCATCAACGAAAAATCCTCATGAAATTTAAAAGAATAATAACAGATTATTTCAAGCACTAAACCTAAGATTATTCAAGGAAGGACAAATGTGGTTTTTTTCTATTGCAAATACTTTTGTTTTGGGCATTTCTTGTTTCATGATGGCAAGGGCACTTTAATACACACCAACTGAGGAACTTGTGACACACCAGCTGATGAAGTGTGATACTGTGATTGCATATACAAGGGAAAAAAGGTTTGCAGCAGTATATGTATGTGAAAATTAACCACATAAGGTGACATAAAGTCAGGGGGTGTGGCTGACAGTACAAAATACATCTGACAAAGGTAATCATGTATACAGGGACATTTCTTTTCATTCCACCCAGAAGGCTGAGACACATAGAACATAAGGACCTATACTGACTGTATATTCAGAAACCCATCAAAATGAACAAAGATGTCAGATCCAAAGCTGGTGATGATCTGCATTTATTTTGAATTTTTGTACATCACATTGACTGATAAAACGAAAACCTGTTGATCACATTTCACGATGGTTCATGTTCCTTCAGGGGACAGGGGTGGTCGGGTAGCCTAGTGGTTAAAGCGCCGCTCATCACGCCGAAGATCTGGGTTCGATTCCCGACATGGGTACAATGTGTGAAGCCCATTTCTGGTGTCCCCCGCCGTGATATTGCTGAAATATTGCTAAAAGCGGCGTAAAATCAAACTCACTCACTCCTTCAGGGGACATGCATGAGTGTCACTGTCAAGCACACAACAGCATACCACAACAAACCTGGAAAGTCCTGCCACACTAATTACACATTATTCATTGGAGAGAACCTTGAAAAAATACATAAGATAGGATATTTCCATGTACTTTTCTCCAACAGAACAGAACTGCAAGAATTGTCAATGTACGTATATGTGCCCTATTCCTCTTTCAAAAGATAACATTCTCTTATAAATATATATATATGGCTAACTCACCAGCTTATGTGCCGCCCTGGTTCATGTGATTAAACAAACAAAAATATCATGCTCTGTTACAAGAAATTAATGTATCGTATTCATATTACAATTATATTTAAGAATTAGTTTTTTGGAAACAAACAACTTCATACACAAGATTAATGTCCATATGAGTTGTGTATGTATAGGTTCATTAGGATCTATTCTTATCTATTGCTTTATTTTTCATGGCATACTAAACTTTAATAATGACATCAAATTGTTACTTATTTGCATAATTTATGTTCAGGTGAAAGATAACAATTGTTGAATAAAATATGTTTAAACTAAAGATAATAATTAAAGTCTGATCAGTTACACTGTGCATTGACCAATATTTAGTATCCATACACATAATCATTTTGGAAAAAAATAGCTACTAAATATAAAAATATAACTTATTATTTTAGAAGCTGTGAACAGATGTAAATGATTAAACATTAACAAATCTATCATCAATACACAATCATGGCGGTCTCTATATTGATGGAATAAATTTTGATATGCTCTGTGAATTGTTGTAAAATCATGCTAGAATTGATAAATGTATTATAAAAGGGAAAAAACTTTAACTATCCCAAATGTAATTAGAAACTAACACTGAAAATAAGTTTATAGTATTTTATTGATATATACATCACACACCTGCGTATATCCTATCATATTTGGCATCGCATGAATGCTATTTTAAAACACGTTTTGTCACGCCTATTTTTCGCACACATGTTGTGGAGGGTGATCATTGCCGATCAACGATTTCTATAGACTTATTGCTTCACACACATAATTATAATAGTGAAAACAAAATCATCAGCATGTATATCGCAGATACATGAATCATATCACTTAATATTCAACGTAACATGGAATGGTGATCCTCATATATCAATTCGAGTTCAAATAAAAGATATCGAGAAACTTGCATGTGGCTTGTTGATTCATCTTCTCCTGTTTCCGGAGCATGCAAGGTCAAACGGATTCTAAAATACGCCAATTATATCGTGAAAATCACTTTGTAATTTCATATTAGTGGCAATTACTGATAATATGTAGTGATTTGTGTTTATTCTGTATAATACAGGCGAAATATTTTAAAATTGACTGTAATTGTTCTGTTCCGAAAGATTATCAGCAGACTACCCATGTCTGTGACATCACATCAGGTGACCTTTGCACAAACTGAGATATTGCTGTCAGAATTTACGATCTTTATCTTTGTTTTTCTCTCGTCATATTAAACTGAAAATGACAAATGAAACAATCTTCGATTGAGAAGATTGTAAACTTTCACCAAGGCATATATACATGAAGACAGTGTTAACATTGTTGATATTACAATAGCAATAAGTTATCCCGAGGTCGGGCGAAGCGCGCCATGTTTGATGTTCGAACGTCTGCTAGCATCATGACACGGTACTTGTATTTTCGTATATCGTAAATATTCAACCAAAACACTGGAAATAAGGATTGGTGAATATTCATGAG